ATATTGGTGCAGCCCATAAACAGCGAGATGAGATCACCAAGTAGTCGTGTTACTAATGGTGGTATTGGTTATACGTTCGTAGAGATTGAGCTAGAGTCACCGGGCGATTATGCATGGGGCTACGAATTTATTGTGTCTGCGGCACATAATGGCAATAATAATTGCCCCCTGTTCAATAATACGCGATTAAATACTGAACTTGTTTGCTTATACTAGTAATGATGTTTAAATCACCGCTTGCTTGTTTTATTAATTTACATTTTTTATTATGATTAATTTGCTTTTGTATTAGTTACTAGTTTTGCAATAAATTATATAATTTTATATTTGTAATACCAAAATAATATGCAACACTTATCACCATTTGATATTTAATTATAATTAACTTTTGAATAATAAATAAATTTAAATTCAGTTTGTCAGTTTGTATTAGTGTACATTTACATTAATAAACTTTAACCAAATAATAGGATTTAATATGTAATCCATTCTAATATTTATTAATCTATTAATCTAATAAGTAAATTATTAATGAAAATATTATTTAAAAATTATTGTTATTATAAAATTTATTAATATTACATTATATAAATTATGAGTATTAATATTAAACATTTAATTTGTAATGCTTTCAAATAATATAATTATTATATTAAAATAAGATGGATTTAAATTAAAACAATTTACATTTTAAACACATATATTGTTAGAGTTTTATTAATCTAATTGATTTAATTAACACATATATTGATCTAATTAAATCTAATCTATTTGATTTACTAAAAATATAATTAAGTATAATTAAAATACAAAATAATGATATTAACATCAATAAAATCACTAACAGAAAAATATGTTTATATAAAATATATTGTACAAAGTTTAACATTGGATTTAATTGTAATGTTATTTCTAATGTACACAGATTATATTCATGAACATAAACTTGCATATCTAGTATAGTATTTTTATTAGTTGGGTGGCATGTAATAGCCCATAACAATGTTAATGCTAAATCGCAATATATTTAATTACAAAATATGTGTTTACCCCCCAACACTGGAAGGGTGGGTGTGGGACAACGCTATCATATATACATTTTTAAGCATAATGTTATTAAATAAAATAAGTTTCCATACATTAATATATAAAGTTCATGCAAATGATAGAAATGATTATTAGTCGCTGTGTTCTCGACAGCAATCTATCTCATTTGATTAGCAATTAATTAGTTATTCTACTGTAATTGTTAGTTATATAATTATAAAACTACTTCATAAAATTAACTATTGGTCACTTTGCGATAACATTTTGCGTATTCATTTAAAGTTAAGTATTTTTACCGCAAAAAATATATTATTATTATTATATTTTATCTATATTAAACAATTTAAATTTACAAATATCATGTAGATTAAACTTAGATGTGCTGATTTGAGCTGGTGTTTCCATTTGATCTATACCAGGAGATATCAAAATTAAAATATGAGCTTAAGTGTATAATTGCTATACTTTGTATTTATTTGGTAATTATTAATAATTAATTATAGATGGTGCCATTCGTGTTTGATTTGTTACGAGTATTGTTGGCCGATAGGGACGTGGTAATGTACCGGGAGCACGTAGTACGTAGTGGCCGTGACAATGTGATCAGGTACTATGACGCCGGACGTATGATAACCCGCATCACGATTTCGTCCACAAGCGACCTAGCTGTGCCCAACTATCGCGTTACTGATGGCGGTGTGGGCCACAACTTTGTACGTGTTGAGTTAGAGGCACCGTGCGATGGTACCTGGGGCTGCGACCTTTATGTGTTCACCGCGCGCGAAACACAATAATTACCGTGTGGTTTTGATTTTTGTGTCTTGCTTATATTTATGTGTAATTTTTATTTTTAGTATTGTCATGCCAAATCTTTTTACCTTAATTCTTTATTAACGGTATTTTAATTATAGTTAATTTTATTTTCTTGTTTTTATTATTAGTGTAATTATTTTTCAGGATTTATTTACAATATTTATGTCTAATTTAATTTTTCAATGTATAATCAATATTTTAGCTTAAAGTTTAAATACATTTAAAATTATATTTACATTCGTATACTATTTAGATTTTATTAATTATATAGCCCATTTTATTTAGCATTAAATAAACATTCTAGAATTTACAATACTTAATTTTTGATAATTTGCTTTATTTTATTATTATAAAAATATGATTACATTTTATTTAAAAATAAAATTGAGATATAAAAATTAATTGACAAGGAACATTGTAATGTATAAAAATAATATGTGAAGCATAGCTTAGATTAGTTCCATTTACTATTCAATCATGATCAACATTTGGGTAATAATTTATTAAATTTTTTTATGACAGTTTGTATTGAATGAAATCATATAATAAAAAAATAATACAACAAAAAACAAATACTCAATATTATGGTGCAAGTTACAATAATTTATTTTAATTATTATTATAAATAATGTATTTATTATTTAAAAAATAACGTTTCATTAAATATTATTGTCTAAAAATTTTATTTCAGCGATGTGTATATTTTTAGAAATAATATTATTATTGCTGAGATAACCTATATTTTGATAAAAATGGTAAAAATCAAAACTTTATAAAATATTCAAATTAAATATTCACTTTATATCCGCGAAAGCGGTTTATAATAAATAATTTCCAACAATAAAATCCTATTTTATGTTTGGCTATGCGTTCCGTTGTATTCAATATCTGATATTTAATAATATACATAAAAACAAATATATTATTATAATGTATTTAATTTATGCATTTATAATTAATCACAATAAATATAAACAGCCTAGATCAAACCATACTTTAAGCCTCATGGGGGCTGATAGTCGGTGTCTAGTGTTAGCTATTAACGAGTTCAACAACGCATAAGTTTTCAGTGCTTCGGTATATAACTGTGACGAGAGGTGTATATACGTCAGCAAATAACTAACGAGGGCCAAATCGGTAATCAACACAATAGATTTCACCACCAGGTGTGTATTAGCAAACAGGGCCACGTACGAGCACGCGCTGATCAGGCCGTTCCAGGCAAACCAAAAATTGAGCAAGTACATCGACCAATAGGTTCTATTATAATCGCCAATCTCAGTATAAACTTGGTCAAACAATTCCAAAACATTATATACCACTGAATCGCTTACGAGCATACCTTTATTTGCAAGTATACGTGTAAATGATGAATTTAGATAGATTAATTTGCCCCTCAAATAGCTGGTAATAATTAAATAATAGGGCGTTTGATGGTACAGAGCGTCAAACAAGTGGCGACACCAGGCGCTAAATAAAATCACCTGGTAGACTGACAGGCCCAGAATATACTTGATACTTTTATTCCAAGTATGTGTTAATACGCCAAATAGAGTAGCCGATAGCCAGTTAACTATTGCCAGCCGGTGACACATGGGAAATATGAGCTTGGCAATTTTGCTTAGTTTAACCACTAAAGCTTCGTTCCGAATTCCCAGTTCATCCGGGGCTAAATGACCTGCTAGCATTTGAAACACGCGCATAAATGAGCAACTATCACCAATGTGATTTGTACGATAATGCAATAACTGAGACACTAGCGTATACTCGGCCACCAATACAAAACACAGGTCAGTCATACAACCAGTTCCCATAAAGTGGTCAACATTACCTAGATAGTAATTGTAATAGGGCTGATATTTAGAGTTATTACTGTAGCCATAGCATAATAACAGGCATTTAGCCATCATTTGAAATGATAGGCCAAACACAAGCCATGGGTAGTGTTGTTAGTTCTGTCATATGACGTCATATAACACTTTACATTACAGTAATATGACATGTAAAGTGTAATATAGAAATTTTATATTACAAAAAGTGTAATATAACTCTGGCGCCATCTGTTAACTAGGCAATTATGATTAGGCAATTACGCTATTATTTTATAAATAAATTGAAACACAATTATAATAGCCCTATAAAAGTGTGTTTTGATAAGCTATTGGCAATACAAGTCGTAAATGTATTGTAAATTTAGCCATGATTTCTAAATTAGCGTTATTCAAGCAAAATGTGTATTTTCTATATTACACTATGTGACGTTATATGACGTCATATGACTGTCACATGTAATATAAAATTCTATATTACATGTAATTTACATTACTAATTACGTAATGGTATATATGAATGGATACATGTATTACATCATGTGTTTTGAATGCATTCACGTGTTTAGCAATGTTTACGCAAAACATGTTTTGTGTGAAGAAATGTTTGACTCGTGTCTCGAGTGAAACCATCCGAAGACAATCGCATGTATTGTCCGCTCAAACAGTTCTGGGAATCGAGACATCATGTGATGAGACGGGGATAGCAGTGGTCGACAGCGACCGACAAATACGATCACAAGTCTGTCGGTCGCAACTCAAGACCCATCTGTCAAACGGCGGAATCATTCCTCCGGTGGCCAAACAGATGCACCAGAAGTGTATCGACGACTGCGTGCGGCTCTGTCTACAAGAGGCGGATCTGAGGGCTGACCAGTTGTCTGCGGTGGCCGTTACTGTCAAACCCGGTCTTCCGCTGTCGTTAGTGATCGGCAGGAATTACGCCAAGACTTTAGCGCTGAAGTACTCGTTGCCAGTGATTCCCATCCATCACATGGAAGCGCACGCCTTAATGGCGACCATTGATAACCCAAGCCTTGACTTTCCGTTCATAACTCTATTGATATCCGGCGGTCACTGTCTTCTGGCGATTGTCCGTAATATCACTCGTTATGATCTGTTGGGAGAGTCTATAGACACGGCTCCGGGAGAACTGATGGACAAAATCGCGCGACGCCTAAGACTTCGCAATTTGGGTCCGCCTTTCGATGGCATTAGCGGCGGAGCGGCCGTCGAGTTGTGCGCCAAAAGCGGGGATCCGTTTAAATACTTTACAGACGTAAACAGTTATCCATTGTATACCTCTCACCGCCGGTGCTGTGGATTCAGTTTCTCCGGCTTTCATACCCACGCCTTTCAAGTGATCGAAAGGTTGGAGAAGAAGTCGGGGACAGAACCCGACCGCGTGTTGGTTGAGGCCAACGACATCTGTGCGTCCATTCAATACGCCATCACTTTTATGTTCATTAAGAGACTTCAGAGGGCTTTCCTTTACATCAAAGCCAACCATTTGTTTGATGAAAAGCCTATAAAACTGGTGATTAGCGGCGGTTGTGCTGCGAATCAGTTCATCACGACTGCCATCACAAACTACTGTCAATCTGTAGATATCCAAGTGTTGACCCCTTCAAAGAGTTTGTGTTCCGATAACGGGGTTATGATTGCATGGAATGGTGTCTTAAAACTCATTAATGAACACAACTATTCAGATGTCGTCCTAAGAGACCAACGAATGATTGAAAGTCTCGATATCTCTGGGAAGGCATTGTTTGGCGAAGACATTAGCCATCATGTCATTCAACAACACATCAAATGTGACAGTTTTGATGTCAAACAGTTTATTAATACACAATAAACTATTGTTTAGATTCTCTCATAAAATATACAAATTTTAGTAGAATTATAAAAACAATTTTATAAATTGAAAGATGTATTGAGCAATCATTTGAGTATTTTGGGCGCCTCTATGTTAAGTTGTGTTGCGATTCGGTTCTGTTTGACGAATAAATAAATGATTAGCGCATAAATGCAAAGCCATTTGAGCGCATATTTTACCGCGAATTCAATTTGATTGATATGGTATGCGATGCCTCCCTGGGAGTCACACTTCTTCATGTGTTCGCGTTCAGGATCTCCGGCCACCAACACATTGGGCTGACCCGCAGCCGGTTCTTGATTACGGCACGAGTCGATCAATGCAGACATCCTATCGGTAAAGCCGGGCGCAAACATCTCCGGATTTATGGCGATAAAGCACTGGCCCTAACATTCATAGACATTAGTGGCTTTAAATGCGTTCAAATATAGCCTTCAATTGTTTACCAAATCAGCGGTCTTATGATTGTCCCCCCATTTCCTCACATTAGGCGCAACCGTAGCGCCCGATAGTATAGAAGTGAATACCTCTACCATTGCGGCCAAACCATAGCCTTTATAACCGCCTGTTTTACAATCAAATGAATTAAAATTTAATGATCAAATTGAGAGTCCAATTGAGAGTCCAATACTTGATTTCTCGACGCCTCCCAACGGTAACAATGCGTTCAGATCTTTGGGATTAGTTATCTGTTGTCCATTCTTATCGATGGCCCAATTATTAGGAATGGATTCGCCCTTACGGTCGGCCAACTCGACTTTGCCCAACGCCACGACCGAAGTGGCCATATCTAACACAAAACTGTCCCCATTATTGGCCGGAGCCGCCAATGATAACGGATTTGTGCCAAAAAATGGTTCTTTTCCTCGAGTTGTAGCCATAAGTGGTGAGGCGTTAGTGAAAGCCATTCCCTGATTATGTATGCAATGAATAATTTATAAGAAGTCAATCGATTATAAAATGCAAACCAAGAGATTCTGTTCCAGTGCTAAGAGACTATAGTAACCAGCGATTCCAAAGTGATTACTTCCTAAACAAATAAATTCCTTATATTATTGTATTATATTGTATATTAAGCGATATTCAGAATATATTTGCGACAATTTGCATACCTTTGGCCACAACCCAACCAATGCCCGATTCTTTGGCCTTTTTGATGGCCAAATTCATGCAGAACTTGCCCACAACGGGTCCCAATAGGTTGTTGCCATCGACCCAAGCCGTAGCCCCGGATTCCTTCAGGATTGTGGGCTCGCCTTCAGCTTTGCATGACTTAGTGGTGATGTCTTCCAAATATAATTCTGTTCATTGAGATAATTGAGTCAATACAACAGCAATACAATCGACATATATTGAGACCCAATCGGTTGAGTCCATGACTGAAGTGTCCCCTATAGTCGCCCATTACGAGCACATCTGCGAGAGACTCCGCGTGCGAACCATTGGTTCCAATGGATACCATCGCTCTCCTCATGAATGAGTGCATCTCATGTCGAGATATTATTTGATACGACATTTTACACTAGATTTACACCTTTTGTTAATTTTGTTAAATTGGTTAAAATGAAAGTTTTTTAACTAAAATAATTGCGATTTCAATATTGATTGCGAGAATATGTGTTGAATTGAATGCATGGATAGGAGTCCTGTCCTTCACATATGGACTTCAAAAGTCTGTTTTAAGAGTTGTATGGATTAACAGCTCATTAGTGGCCTTCAAATAGTAAACAAACAGTGCATTCAATTCACTAATGATTGGGAAATCAAACATTTAAACAAAACTACTATTAATTATTACTAATTAACATAATTGGCGTTCAAATCATATTTAATTCTCAATATTCTGTACACCCTTTGAGACTACAAACTGTAAACCTGAATGTCGAGCATTGAGTGCATGTTTTGTTTGACATGTTATCTCAAAATGTGTGCATTTTTCTAATAATATTTTTAGCTTTTCTTCAAAAGAATGCGTTTTAGTCTAAATTGGATAAAATTTCGGCATTTTTTCTAAATTATATCAAAATCGGGAATATTCTTAAAATATGTCCAAATCAAGAGTATTCGTTAAAATACAAATATTTTTACCCCATTATAACCTCCAAACATAATTGGATGTTATTTTCAAACATTCTATTCGTTAATTTAATTCGTCAATGTCCGAAGAATCTCCTCTAAGAATAAGATATTAACCGTGAGTCCATCAAATGTGTGACCCATTTCTTCTCCCCTTCTATCCTACAACTGTATTCTCGACACAAACACAAACACTGGCACCATAAGAGGTCCATCATATACCTGTTTTCCACTCAATTCTGTTAACTCACACAATCCATAGACATGTGATTGTATTGATAGTATTGAAAATGGAACCATTTTTCATAAATCGCACGTGGCATTTATCGGTGCGCTACATGACATTTATAAATACATGCTTGTACACAGATCTTATTAATATCTTTACAATATTTAGCAAATTAATCTCTCTCTCTCTCTCTCTCTCTCTCTCGATACTTGTTTATTTATTTATTAAAAAACTAAAAAGTACAATTTTAAGTATAACACTCAATTCCTAATACAGTATGAACTGCAAGTTTGATTTTATATAGATAATTTTAACAAGGTTGTAGATTTGTACAAATTTTAGATACTTTATACTACAAATAATCTAAATCTGAACTCTTTGGTATTTAGTTTTTAAAAAATATAATTATGTTAGTCCTAATTGTATTTTTATTATTACATTTAAGATTTAATGAGTTTTTACCATTTATCACGACTAATGAGAATTTTACATATTAATTCCAGTTAACTAATAGCTTAATTATTGTTAAAAATCAATATGATTACTTTTTACATCTATCAATTTTTAATACAGAATTCAGTTTAGAAATTATTGTCATTAAATTCATATGAAAATCCAATGCCATTGCGATTAGATATCAATAAATTCACACTTAATTTCATTTATTATTTAAAACAATTAATACGTAAACTATTTATAATTAGAACAAACACTTAAGTATATCAAAGATATACATATCCCACAAGGTTACAAACAATTGTTATTCTTAACTTTTACATTCTATGCTATGCATTGTAAATATTTCTACATTGTTAAATTAGTAATTTAAAATTACATAATAAGCACTGCTAAATTAATAATTATTTTAAAATTTATAAAAAGGTAATGATTAATTATAATTAAAACCAATGCATTTTGGCTTGGAAATGAACATGTTAGATTTTTATAACAATTCATAGTTTGTTTTAATATCTAAAGTATTTCATACATACACAAACAATATTAATCTATGTTTTTATTTACCAAAGTATGATACATTTTATTTTTATGAAGCTTAAAAGGTACTTGTGAGTTTTATATTAAAAGGGTCATGGTTAATTTTTACGATAAAATATGTTTAACCGGTCTTATTAAATATACAGTTTCTTTTCAATAATTGCCAATTTAATTACCAATTTAACAAAATATTGTCTATTTTAAAATGAATTATAAACTAGGTAATTGCCTATAATTTTAAATATTATTCTAATACAAATAATTATTACTTGATTGCATTCAATTGATTACTATCAAACTTATTAAATACAATAAATAATTAATTAATTAAATTATTAACTTTATTTATTAAAAAATAGTCACATTATTACTGTCAGTAATATCACTGACCCAGGCGTGTGATTTTTGCCCACAACAAGATGATTTTGCACCATGCACGTGCCAAAACGATGTCATTAGATGTGTCAGCACGAGTGACGAATTGGACCTAGATGACAAGTTCAAACAACTGGCCGCTGGCGCGCCGTACGGCTCACGATATTACACACGCTTTGAGTTGGAGGACAGTTACATAACTAGACTACCGGCCCATGTGTTTCACGGCATACAGTTTGGCGAATTAAAGTTTGTTGGTTGCAGTCAGTTAACATGTGTGGACCCTAGTGCTTTTGAAGGGCTCGGACCCCGCATTAATAAGTTTACGGCTGAACTGACCGATTTTAGGTATACTTTAATTATATATTATTTTATATAACTAGTATATTTTGAGTTTTTCATTTTTCTACTAACTACTTTTCTCACTTTTACTTAATGTAAGGTACAATGAGCTTGGTTATTTAGAGCTAAACTGTTTTATTTACAATAAACTTTAAATATTGTTTACTTCCTAAGGAACTAAGTATTAGGATTATATACAGTATTATTTCGTAAACATGTTGCATTAAATTCGGTATTTTTATTATGAAAATAGTATTATTCAATACTGGACAATGGGTTGCATAATAAGTTTAATTTTTATCAATTTAAAATATCTAAACCCTATGGCATTAACTAGTATGATGCTGTACTAAAATGATACTGTACATGTGTAGTCACTAATTAAAACAAGATTTCTTAGTTTACTATAATATAGTATTATGTGTATTTAATACAAATCAATTACACAGCGGCACTAAACCCGATATAAACGATACAAGTTATACGTGCGACTTGTTTGGCGCGTTGAGTACATTGACAAATGTGGAGACCATTCAGATAATCGGCAGTCAAATCACTCAAATACCGGCCAACGCTTTCAATGACAATATGGGTGTACTCACAAACTTGCACACCGTTGACTTTGGCGGCAGTATGACCAAGGGTGTTATCGAGTATGTTGGCCCAAATGCATTTTCTACATTAAGAAGTTAGTATTAGCAAGTTTTTTGTTCATTATGATATAATTTAATCTAACTTATTATAATGGTAGATGTGCGCCTGATCGATCTATCCTACCAGAACATCTCGGTGATTGGCCAGGATGCATTCGCGTTCACCTACCGTAATGACGAGCGGCTGACCCTACGCCTGGAGTCTAACTCGTTGACCGGTTATAAGCTTAAGGCAGTCGGCCGGGTGTTCCCCATTAACCGACCGCTAACCATAACAATGGGTGGCAATAAAGACCTGCACTATTTACCCGAGGCAACTTTTTACCATATTTTTGTCGAACAAGCGAGTGGTCAACGAAATACACTGAATATGAGTGGCGATCAGCTGGAGATTGACTTAAACAACGAGTGGCTGATTAGGTATGAAACATGCCTATGAGTTGAATTGAGAATGTGCTTGGTTGTTGTTGAAATCTAGATAACCTGAACTGTATTACCTGTAGGTATAAACAGGAGTTGGATTTGAAGGATAAGCTGCTCAGCGCGTGGGGAGACGACGGCCGGGAACTACTGAAACATAGCGACAAAGAGATGCAAAAGATACCCCCAACTGACCCTACATTTTATAATCTAGATGATGATGATGATAATCAGGATGATTATTAGTAGCGATTAAATAAACTGATTTCTATTATTTTTTGTTAAAACAATTTAATATATAATAATTATGATTATTGTTTACTTTTGTAGTGGTTATTAGTGTTTTTGTATGAAATAAATTGAATTATTTAAATGATATTTTTGTATCTTCAATTTTATTTAAATGATCGGTTATTAAGTATGAATCGTGTTTAACAAAATAATATCACAAATAATCTTATACTTTAATATTACAGTATAATAAGAAGCGCGTCCATTGAACCCCATGTTACAATATAACAACTGTATTCTCTACACAAACATTGGCACCAATAGAGGTCCATCATATACCTGTTTTCCACTCAATTCTGTTAACTCACACAATCCATAGACATGTGATTGTATTGATAGTATTGAAAATGGAACCATTTTTTGAAAGGTCGTTTTGACGTCCAGGTGTTTTCCACTTCTAACTGAATGAAATTTGATATAGATTTCTGTTTTTATTACTTGCTTACATTTATTTAAACTGATTACTAATAAGCGCGTAAAATATAACAACGGTATTCTCTACACAAACATTGGCACCAATAGAGGTCCATCATATACCTGTTTTCCACTCAATTCTGTTAACTCACACAATCTATAGACATGTGATTGTATTGATAGTATTGAAAATGGAACCATTTTTTGAAAGGTCGTTTTGACGTCAAGGTGTTTTCCACTTCTAACTGAATGAAATTTGATATAGATTTCTGTCTTTATTACTTGCATACATTTATTTAAACTGATTACTAATAAGCGCGTAAAATATAACAACGGGATTCTCTACACAAATATTGGCACCAATAGAGGTCCATCATATACCTGTTTTCCACTCAATTCTGTTAACTCAGACAATCTATAGACATGTGATTGTATTGATAGTATTAAAAATGGAACCATTTTTCGAAAGGTCATTTTGACGTCCAATTGTTTACCACTTCTAACTGAATGAAATTTGATAAAGATTTCTGTCTTTATTACTTGCATACATTTATTTAAACTGATTACTAATAAGTGCGTAAAATATAACAACGGTATTTGGCTAAATTCATCTGGTCACCCTATGACTATTTCTCCACTACAGCCAGTATTATTTTATCTCTACCATCTGTGGATCACAGGGTCTTACTTTTGACTCACGTTATGTGACTGTTTTGTATACATTTTGTACAAGTGTTTAATCATTAAATTATTTTTACTTTTAATTCTGTTCACCATTTAATACATTTAATTAACATATTATACGCGCGCAGAACGGAATCCGAAAAGTGTTTGGTAAGTTTCTGGGAGGTTTCCGGAAAACATCTGGAAAGTTGAGACAGTGATCCGGACAGGAAAGTGTATTATGTCCGGGGGCTTCACATACTATTAAGCGCCTATTATATTGTAATATCATTATTTATTAAAATCCATTAAATATTTATTAGTTAGTAAAATATAATAGTAATAAATACAATTAATATACAACTTTTAGCTATATTTATTTTTACAAAGTAAGTTCACAATCACTATTAAGGGCTTTCTTTGAAATCCAATGTCATTGCGATAAAACACCGATGAATGCAAACTTAATTTGAAAACAATTAATACGTAAACCATATATAATTAGGACAAACACTTGAGTGATAACTATAATCATATACAGTAAAACTACAATTAGTATATTATTATTGACCGCCAAATAATTAAACAAATGATCTTGGCATTCTATGTAAGTTGCGCATTAGAAATGTATTTTCATGATGAACCATTATAAAATAATAGTTATATTGGCTTAACCGGATAAAAGCCGGACTTTTATGTAACGTTAAGTTTGACCAGGTTTAAAATTTTTTTGTTATGGACCAAGTCATCGGTTCCAACTCTCATCAATGCACGTGTTTAATGTGTTTACATTTATGTGAAAAAAATATTAAATTTATACCAAGAAGTAGCAATTTTACCCGAACTCCCGATACCGAATGCATTAACAAATTTAACCTATTTTAGTTTTTACTCATTAAAATTAGTAAATTATCTCACAAAAATAATTTATCAGTTTTAGGTGATGTATTATTTACCAACTAATGATATGAACTGTTTAAAAAGTAAATACCGATTGATTTTGACCACAAAGACCGCACCCGAACGGGCCGACCCGGAAAAGTGGGTAATCATGTGCCAAATTATCGGGATGTGTCCAATTCATTACTTCCATATATNNNNAACGGGCCGACCCGGAAAAGTGGGTAATCATGTGCCAAATTATCGGGATGTGTCCAATTCATTACTTCCATATATGGATTTGTTGGTCATTATATGCTTTCAATGGGCAACAAGTTATGACCATTTAAATCAATTACCGCGGTGTCCAGAGCCAATAATTTGACACATACTCAAAATATGGCTATTTTTGGCCTATTTTTAGACCACGTTTTACGAAAATCACCCGAAAAAAATTAGAGGACTTCGGGTCATAAATCTCTCCACACCCACCATATACTCCAGTTATCCCACTATCACATGACTGTTAATACCATTCTCTCGTGTCATGTTTTAGAGGTGCAAAATGCTAAACAAAAGTAGTGGTCGAAACAGACATCATTCACTACTCTCCACACCCACCATATACTCCAGTTATCCCACTATCACATGACTGTTAATATCATTCTCTGCTGTCATGTTTTAGGGGTACAAAATGCTAAACAAAAGTAGTGGTCGAAACAGACACCACTCACTTCTTTGACTCTCAGGGCAGCCATTTTTATCGGGAATGAAATGAAAATTTGTCAGAATGATAACCAATAGTTGCCGATAATAATAGCTATTTTATAATTTGAATTAATTTTTTTTATCACAATAATAATGAATTTTCTATTTTCTATTAAATCTGTCCGGTTTTTATCCGGTTAAGCCAATACTACTGAAACATCTTGTATTTGGGCATCATTTGAGTCAACAACTCCTTTGAACTCAACAATTCCGCGTCCAGTGCCCTGACCTCACTCAAGTCGACGCCAACATTACCTGGATTTTTGGCGCACGTGGCCAACATGTACTTGGTCACCGATCGCAGAAATTTGGCATCGGCTTTGGCCCGTTTATACATCACTCTGGGCGTCAGCTCCTGTCCCCACCGGGCGAACACGTCTCGGGACACCGCAAAACCAAAGTCGGCCCATTTGGCGGTATACCTACCGCCGGGTGCGCTGAACACCAATATGTTCCAGATGTGAACATCCCCGTGACTGACCCCCTTGCCGTGCATATAAGCCATGGCTATAGATATTAATCACGTTGTAAATTATAATCATTTAAAATAAAGTTTATATTTTGTTAATTATAACATACCTGCGCACAATTCCCGGGTAAATTGCACCGTCAACTGATCGTTGAGACGACCACCATCGCCAAAATGTTTGAGAGTACCTTGGTCGGCGCAATCCATGACCAAAAAGGCGCGCCTATAGGAGACAATGTCTTTCGACGGATCGCCCGATACGCTGCGAAGTATCACTTTTCGGCCCAAATTGATGGCCACTCTGTAGGTGACAATGTTTTTGTGTTGTAGTGATTTCAATATACATTTCTCGATGAAATAGTTGAGATGATCGCTGGCCACTCTATCGGGCGGGAACTGGACATACTTGGCGGCGAACTGGTCGCCCGACTTGACATCGCGCAGGTAGCGGCCCTGTGGGGTGCGCTTCGTTACCTCGATCTATTGAGTATTACGTAAAAACAAATTATATGAGAATAAAATCACCACTTTAACCATGTTTTAAACACAATCATACCTGATCGGTATAACCACCCCGGAACACTTCGCCAAACGCACCCCGGCCCAGTGACTGGGCGTTGATGTAGGCCACGTCAAAGCCCTTACCTAGTAGTTTACGCAAATCCCGTTTGGTCTTAGCCTGGAGTCGGGCCACTTTCTTGCGGGCGGTTACATACGATGCCAGACGCCCTAAGCCACCGGCCGACCACTCAGCGCTGCTCACGTTCAGCTCACCGGACGTCGTGTCGCCCGTACGTGCGCTCTGGTAGGTGTCGGGCGCGAACTCGTAGCGACCCCTCAGTTGCGGCCAAGGCTTTTGACTTTCTCGCATCTTTGGTGTCGCACCGGTGGGCACGTATTCCTCACCCACTGTACGCAGTCCTCCCCCAACAGCCCCTTTCAGTTTGGGCGGCGGTGTCGGCGGACCTCTGAGCGGTTTGGCGGGCGGTGTCGGGAGGCGACGGCGGCCACCGGCGACCCTAGTGCTGAGTGGGGTCGGGTAGGCATACTCCGCACCAGAGGGACCGTAGTAGTGACCCACTGCGGGCACTCCGCCAACAGCCCCTTTCAGGGCCAGCTGCTCATCACCCGGAGCTAATTCAGGGGTCGGTTCTCTGTATGGTTGGGCCAATCGCTGAGTAATGAGACCTATGGGCGGTGTCGGGCGAAGATTGGGTGGTTTTGGGGGCGGTGTCGGCCGGCGACGGCGGCCACCGGCAAGCGGTGTGATGGGTGGGGTCGGGTAGTTATACTCCGCACCTATAGGATCGTAGTAGTGACCCATTGCGGGCACTCCCCCAACAGCCCCTTTCAGGGACAGATCCTCATCTCCCGGAGCTAATTCAGGTGTCGGTTCTCTGTATGGTTGGGCCAATCGCTGAGTAATGAAATCTTTGGGCGGTTTGGGAGGCGGTGCCGGTGGGCGACGGCGTTCCTGACTTTCCATTTGCTCCATAAGATTGGCGAGAGTGCGTCCGTATCGCGCCTGCCCTCTGCCCGGTGCGAACCGAGGGGTGGAGGTAGGGCTAGGGGTGGTGCGCATAATGCGTGCCAATGCATCTCGTGATGACTCCTGAGGCTGGTTTCCGTACCTGCGGACCATGTCTTGTAGGTCTGTATCTGTGTGTGTCTTAACCACTGAATGCAAGTTATTTTTAACCTAATTTTGTTGTATTCATTGTTATTAAAACTTATTTATTTTAAACATTATTTTCGATAAAAACAATGCAATTATTTGTAATGATTAAAATAAATACCATTTTATTAAATAAAGTTTTAATAAAATTTTTAAAATTATGAACAATTAATAATTGTTATACTCGAGCGCCGACACTTCAGCCTCTGTATTCAACCGAATTGGCCGAGTCTGGAATTTTTGGGCCACCGGTTGGTCGAGCCGTACCTGTCGGACTGGACATGCCCAACAAAGCCCAGGCCCACAACAGGTATATGCAATTGTTGGCGAGTATGAGACAGACTGTAGGGATGGGCAACATCGACACTCGCTCTACGCGTCCGCCCGGCCACTGGTCGCTGCTTACGTTTACTTCACCGAACGCCGTATCGCCCGTACGACTGGTCCGGTTGTCATCTTGTAGAGGCTCTGTAGCTGCCGGTGCGGTCGTTGACTCTCCCGTGCGGGTGATGTGTGTCCGGTGGGGACGTATGGTTGGGCCATTGCAGACGATTCCTGTCCGCTGGACACACCCTGTATGTTAGCTACGGATTGTAAATATTTAAATAATAATTGCTTGGTTTTGATTGTTATAAAAATATAAATTATTTGAAATATTGTTATTGATATTACCGTTATTTCGGATGCAAAGTTTAGCACCATGGTCTTTATTTAAATCGTTGCATTAAATACCATTAAATACAAATTATTAAAATAAATTGCAGTATTTCTAAACAAAACAATTAGGATTTTATAAAGGGTAAAGTTCAATTTTAATGGATGCTGGGCCAAAATTTGTATATTAAATTTTTTTTATTTTTTTTTATTTGGGAAATTAATTAACATTGTAATCATAATTAAAATTGATATAACTGATGTTCGGTAATGACGTTATTCAATATAAAAAACGTACATAACTGATACTAAATTTCTTAATTATGATATAACTTTTCTCTTATGTCAAATTTCAGAAATTCCTTCGGGTTTTGATTCTACTCTTCAATACCTTTCTATTGATATATAATATGATATGGTTATTTATAAAATAAAAGTTTTGATTTTCAAAATTTTACCGATAAAAGTGGTCACTGCGGCCAAACCCGAGGTCACTTTACCATATGAAGTATACCACTAGACATTGTAGATCAAGTACTTTCAGTAGATAAAATATCTCTTGGGTGCAAGCGGTCCCACTTTTGAACATACCCCTTTTAATACTTGAAAACTATACTGTGTATTGAATGTCTAATACCTGGTGTTCATTCAATACGACGACTACTACTACTACTGAAACATATTGTATTTGGGCATAATTTGAGTCAACAACTCCTTTGAATGCTCCAATTCATTATCCAGTGCCCTGACCTCACTCAAGTCGACGCCAACATTACCTGGTGTGTTCGCGCACGTGTCCAACATGTATTTGGTCAGTTTTTGCAAATAGGTGGTATCCGCCCGGGCCCATTTGTACATCACTCTGGGCGTCAGCTCGTGTCCCCACCGGGCGAACACGTCTCGGGACACCGCCAGACCAAAGTCGGTCCATTTCGCTGTATACCCACCGCCGGGTGCGGTGAACACCAGTATGTTTCTAATATGAACGTCCCCGTGACTGACCCCCTTGCCGTGCATATAAGCTATGGCTAAACATTAGAGAAATAATTACGTGGTAAATTATAATCATTTAAAACAAGGTTTATATTTTTAATTAAAACGTACCTGTGCACAACTCCCGGGTAAATTTCACCGTCAACTGATCGATGATACCGCCAGCATCACCAAACTGTTTGAGAGTACCATGGTTGGCGCAATCCATGACCAAAAACGCTCGCTTATAGGAGACAATGTCCTGCGACGGGTC